ACTTACAGATTCTTTTGTTTTTATTTAGAAGAGCTGTCAGAAGATGATCTATTGAATCAGTATTCCCTCTCATTTACAAAGAAGATCAAGAAAAATAGCTGTGAAAATAATGAATCATTGAAATCTTCTGAAATGTTTGTGCCTGCCCTGGAAGGTGGAACTATTCAAACAAAAACCTTAAGCACAACACCTCAGACAAGAAATAAATTTGCAACATTTTTACAGAGAAAAAACAAAGAAAGTGGGGCAGTTGTGGTTCCAGGGACCAGAAGCAGGTAAAGATATATTTTCAGAATGTTGTTTATCTATATATTATGTAATGGGTTCATGTTTATTTTGTCTTGAGTTAAAATTGGCTTTAGAGCCGGGGAGGCGTAGGACCTGCCTTAGTATGTCTACCATTTTTATCATGAACGGACATCTCCCAACACATGAGGCTTCAGCTTAGGATTTTGGGACTTTGATAGTGTGAAAGTGATATGTATTCAGTATAAATGGTACTTTGATTTTTTTCGGAGGGCTTTATGCAATTTTGTGAGTCTTTTTGGAAGTATATTAAGATATAGATAACTGTAGAGTTGAATATTAACTGCAAATCCAATGCCATGCTGTGTGTTGTGATTCCAAAAATGAGATAGACATACTTTTTGTTTTTGAGACATTTGTGGTCCAGGTGGAAAAATAAGTACATAAACAAAATTTTTCATTTAGTGTGGCAGTGTGGTCATTAAAACACATATAAAGTGTTCTGAGAGCATCAAAGGGGCAGTGTTTAGAAAGCATCAATGTTGGATGTTCCTGGTAGGGTGAAGCTGACAAAGACTGCAGCCAAACACCTTCCCAGTAGAGCCAAACAGCTTGAGCAGAGGTTTGGGGATGGGAAGCAGCATGGGGCATGGCACAACTAACTTACTGTGGATAGTTGCTGTTATTACTACCAGAAAGAAAGCTTGGAAGAGGGAAGTGAAGAGGCAGCAGTAGTAGGTGGGTGCCAGCTCATGAAAGGCTTGTATTTCAAGCTAAAACCTTTAGTCTTCTTTAGAGGTGATGGGAAACATTTAGAGGGTTTCTTATCAGGAGAGGGTTGTGATTTGATTCTCATTTTAGATAGACTACTGTGAGAGGACCAAATGTGGAACACAAAGATCAGCTGGGCTGTTCCCATAGTCCCTGTAAAGGATGATGAGATTTCAATTTGAAAAGAATTACAATTTGGGGGTTAGGAATTTAAACCCCTGCATCAAACCTCTTGGATTTGAGTCTTGTCATGTTCATGAGATGTTTGATTTGGGCAAGTGTACTTCTGGGTGTTTTACTTTTGTAAGAAATAGCGCTTTCCAAAGTGTTGAGTTCAGTTCAGGCAACTTCCCTGTTCTGTTAATTAAACTTTGGTACATTGAAATAGGCCAGGAGAGACTATTGGATAGAAAGTGTTATTCTATTCATTTACCTCCCAGCCTACAAAAATAAAAATTT